GGCCTTGTCTCAGGCCACCTGGAATTTAGGCCCTGTGATATGTGCATGTGTGATCATACATAGGTAAGGAAGGAACAGCAGAGTGGTATTGAGGAGTAAATTAGAAAATATTAAAAACAAATACAGAATATGGTGCAATATTGGGGCAGAAGTGCAAAAAAATTATCCCTAACTCAACTGTCGGAGCACAGTGTACTGCAGGCTTTGCGGGATTACCCTTATCAGCTCTGCTTGGTTGCTGGTGTGGCAATGAATCTGGGGAGCCCTTTTGGCTCATGGCTGCTTACCCCGCTGTAGGGCTGATGGAGGGTTATGTGGTGGAGAAGGCCACCCTGGAGGAGAGTCTGCAGCAGAAGGAGAGCCAAGAGCAGAAGCTGGTGGAGGAGCTGGAGGCTATGCAGCTTCATCTGCTGGAGCTCAGTGAGGAGAATGGCCTGCTACTGCGGCAGAGAGATGCCCTCAGCGGTGTCCTAGGGGAGCCGGAGAGAGGTGAGGGGCCAGGAAACTGTATGGACAGGAGAGGGCATCGGAGTGCAGAGGGGTGGAGGTAAGGGACAGAGCTGTCGGGACAGGAGGGGGAGCTCTGTGGGGACAGGGCTGTACTGCACAGTGTTGCCAGAAGCAAAGGGGCGGGGGGATGGGGGTAGGGCTGTAGTGCAGGCTTTCAGCTGATTGTATCCAACCTGCCGAAGTGCTGAGAGATGGGGTCTAAAGGGGGAATGCTTTACTGGCTGACATGAATGCTTTACTGGCTGACAGGTAACGGTCAGGTGACCTTTTGGTGACCTCTAGGAGGTCAGGAGGCTGACATCACCGGTTTGTATGTGTTCATATCTGTGCTTTTTTCTGTGTGTGTGTTTGTGTGTGTGTGTCTGGTCAGTGGCTCAGGATTTCTTAACTGTGCACATTGAATCTTTGACATTCTTCTCTTTACTGTAACCTGTTCACTTTTGACTTTCCTGCTGGTTCTCCTGCTTGTAGGTACCCAATCCTTACTCTCTCCTGGTTTGCAGTGCATTCTGCTGCTTTTTTTTTTTTCCTCCTGTGGTTGTCAATGCTTCACGTCGTGTTAAGTTGGGCCTCCGCCATCCAGCAGGTCTTCTTGACGAGACTCTGCGCTTGGCTCAGGAAAAGCTGGATGTTCAGCGACAGGCAGAGAAAGACCATGGTGGACTGGTGTCACAGCTCCGCCGTCTGGAGACTGAGCTGGAGGAGCAGACAAACTGCAACATGGAGCTGGAGCAGCAGCAACAGGCCCAAAATGAGGACCTCTTGCAGCAAATCCAGGCTCTGGAAAAACAACTGAAGCATCATCGACATTTCATTGATGTGAGCCCCAAGCTCGCTCTCACCTCCTTTAATGTACATTCAATTGCCAAAAGTAAAGAGACACCTGCCTTTACACACACATGAACTTTAATGACATCCTATCCACAAGGTTTAGGAGGTTTGTGTTTATAGGAATTTTTGACCATTCTAAGAGTATTTGTGAGGTTAGGCACTGATGTTGGATGGCAGTCTCCGCTCTAATTCATCAGGTATTCTATTGAGTTGAGGTCAGGGCTCTATGCAGGCCAGTCAAGTTCCTCCACACTAGACTCGCTCATCCATGTCCTTATGGACCTTGCTTTGTGCACTGGTGTGCAGTCATGTTGGAATAGGAAGGGCCCATCCCCAAAGTGTTCCCACAAAGTTGGGAGCCTGAAATTGTCCAAAATAGCTTTGAATGCTGCAGCATTAAGAGTTCCTTTCACTGGAACTAAGGGGCCAAAAACAACCCCACACCATAATCCCCCTCCACCAAGCTTTAGACTTAGCACCATGTAGTCAGGCAAGTACCATTCTCCTGGCAACCGCCAAACCCAGACTCATCCAGACTGATAAGTGTGATACGTCACTCCAGAGAACATATCTCCACTGCTCTGCTTTACACCACTGCATCTGACGTTTTGCAAGGCACTTGGTGATGTAAGGCTTGGATGCAGCTGCTCAGCCATGGAAACCCATTCCATTAAGTTCTCTACGCACTGTTCTTGAGCTAATCTGAAGGCCACACAAAGTTTGGAGGTCTGTATTGACTCTGCAGACAGTTGGCGACTTCTGTACACTTCGCCTCAGCATACATTGTCCCTGCTCTGATTTTTATGGTGCCTACCGGTGTGGCTCAGTTGCTGTTGTTCCCAATTGCTTCCACTTTGTTATAATACCGCTAACAGTTGACCGTGGAATATTTAGTAGCGAGGAAATTTCACAAATGGACTTACTGCATAGGTGGCATCTTATCATGGTACCACGCTTGAATCCGTAAATGTTTGTAGAAGCAGACTGCGTGCCTAGGTGCTTGATTTGGCATTATAGTGTATCTGATGGTGAGAATGCTCCACAGTGCCAGGCAATGGAAAGGGAGCATGAGAGAGAAGAGTTCCAGCAGGAGATCCGCAAACTGGAGGCACACTTGAAGCAGCAGAACCGGGGCTGTGCTGGGGATGACTATGCTGGACGCAAGGTAGCAGTCTGCAGTGTCCCGTTTAATCTGAGACCTTTTATAGGCGCATGCTTTAATGCAACTACTTTGTTTCAGGTGGAGGATTTGTCTCAGCAGGTACGTGATCTGAGCATATTCTTTGTGCTGTGCCTCTGGATGTCTTGCCTTTGTGATGACCTACAAGCTGCTCTGACACCAATTCCTGCTCAGCCTGTGTGTTACCTGGGGCGAGCAGAGCATGATCTCTGCAATACAGTAACCACTTTAATTGGCAACTAATGGCTTTTCCACATAAGTGAAGGGCGAGGGGTGCAGCTAACATTTAACCGGTTAACAAACCAGGCAGGGCTTTTGCATGCACCTCCATACCCATTATCGTTGGGGGGGGGTGTTGTTAAAGCCCTTCAGGCTGGCAGATCACCTTGCTTGGGCCCCCACTGCTGCTGTGTACAGGTCGAGAGCCTGCAAGCGTCTATGAAGGAGAAGCTGGATGATTATAGCACTCTGCTGCTGGTGAAGCAGAAGTACCAGTGCGAGGTCGCTGAGCAAAGCGAGGAAATCGACAGGATGGCTGGCTGCATGCAAGAGCTGGAGCAGGAGTTGGACAGGGCCAGGAGGGCCCAGCTGGAGCTGCTGCAGGTGAAGCTGGGGCTCCATGGTGAGGACTTGCATGTGCCAGCTGCAGGCGGCTCCCTGCTCACACAAAAGCTGCCTCTTGCAGGACAAGGACGCCCTTCAACAGCAGCAGTACTCGCAATGTATGCAGATATCTGCGCTGCAGTCTACGGTTGACGAGGCCCGACATCGGCTGCCTGATGCTACGCCAGACCCTGAGCTACAGGCGGAGCTAGAGGCTGTACAACAGGACTTGTTGAGCAAGGAGACACAGGTGTGTGGCATGGCATCCGGGCCAGGAGATGCAGGGTGTTGGGTTTAACTGCAGCTTGTCTCTCCCCAGGTGCAAATGCTGTCGGGGCAGTTGGAGGTGTTGCAGAGGGAGTTGACAGTGAAGGATGAGGAGGTCTCTCAGCTGAATCTACAGCTGGATCAGTTCACTAAGCAGAGCTCCGCCTGCACTGTGCAGCTGCAGTGCGAGGTCACAGCCTTGCAGGTGGGGCCACCATCTGCTCGCTTCCAATTGTCACCGAAGTGTACTGGGGCTGACTGGTGTCCCTCTTCCCCGGAGAAGGTGAGCTCCCTGCACAGGGAAGACAGAGGGGACAACAAAGCCACATCTTCACTGCAGCTTCCTTTGGATCTGCTAGTGGAGAAGAATCAGGACACTGACCACCTGAACCAGCAGATTCATCAGCTTCAACAGGAAGTGGGCATGTCTCAGGATAGCAAGGTTTGTGGTTTGTCATGGGGGTGCAGTGAAGCCATGAGGGGGGGGGGAGTAAAAATAGTATCTGTCTGAATGGCCTTCTGACTTGCCCCCCCCCCCCAGATGGAGGTACAGCTGGAAGAGCTACGGTCCCTGATTGATCATCTCCGCAATGAACAGCAGCACCTGCGTCGGCAACATGAGGAGGAGGAGGAGCAGCTGCACGGGGTCATCCATAAGCTGCGGGAGGAGCTAACACAGCTGGGACCCAGCTGTCTGGAGGTGGGCGAACTCCAAGAAAAGTACAGAACCCTGGCAGTGGGCTGTCACACTTCCAGCCATGACCTGCAGAGCCAACTGAACCTGATGCACAGCGAGAAGGAAGCTCTGCAGCTCCTGCTCCGCAGCCAGGGGGAGACCTTCAGGAGCCAGTTAGAGAGCTTGGGTCACAGCCTGAAGGAGGAGCAGCAGTTAGCAGGGAAGAAGGATGAGGTTGCCTTCCTCAAGGAGAGTCTGTCCCAGCCACAGGTGCAGGTAGAGCAGCTCAGCGCTTCTTTGCAGGAGCTGGAGGAGCATCAGGGACAGGAGAAGCTGTCCGTGGTGGAAAAGGAGGAGCTGACGGCAGAGTGTCAGGAACTGAAGCAGCGTGAGGGCTGGCTGCAAGAGGAAGTAGAACATCTGAAACAGGAAGTGGTTTTGGCTGGTGCGCAGATTCAGGAGTTGAACTCCCAGCTCGAAGCTGGGGAGGTGGGGTACGCAGAAGCTCACAGAGACGTTCTGGTGAGTCTGATATAGCAGGCTTTCTGCAGAAAATCCAGCCTTGATAACCTCCCATGCAGCAGAGACCTTTGGCTGCTGGAGCTTCAAGATTAAACTATCCAAGTAGTTTTAATCCCTGTGATTGGAGGCATAGCAGGGAGGGTGTGGCTGGGGGTTGCTGCTGGGCCGCTTACCTCCCTCCTAATGTGAGAAAAGCTTGGACTGTTTGGCAGATGGTTGTTTGACTTCTTGAGGCTGGATAGAATACCTGTTGCCCTGTTTCCGTCAGACGTATGCAGAAACAACCCTTGCCAAGGCGGAGGGTGTGCTGCGAGACAAGGGGGCAGAGCTGGAGGCCCTGAGGGTGGAGCTTGCTGCTGTCAAAGAGGCTCTGAGTTCCAGCACTGACAGGGTGGAGAAGCTGCTGGAGGAAGGCCAGGTAAATGGAGGGTATGGGAACTTGATATGCATGTAGCACAGGCCTTGCATCACTTGCTTGGGAATTCTCTCTCTCTCTGTCTCAGATGAAGGATACAGCTCTGACTGAGCTACATATTGTCAATGAACAGCTGAAGGCTGAGCTCAGGGGCCTGCGGGGGAAGTGGCAGCTGCAGGAGCTGCATGGGCAGTATGACCTGCAGGCTATGCCGTCGTACTCACAGGAAGCAGCAGCAGGAGGCAGCCTCCCATTGCTGTCCACAGGGGTGTCTGTCCGTTCCCCTGAGCATCTACGGTGTCAAGACCGCAGCATGAGTCATGGTTCGCGCCTGTCAGACTGCAGCAGCCTGGAGCTGTGCAGCAAGGAGCCCTCGTTGCCCCCAGAGAGCCTGCAGATGGACACAGAGCTGCTAGGCAGCTGCTCGCCAGGGCCCCTGTCTGATTCCAACACAGTCTCCATGATGGAGACTCTGCATTTGGAGCAGGTATGTGCCATACGTTTGCCTGCACCGTACCGTCGCTCTCAACCTGCAGATGGCCTCAGTTGTCATCTCTAACCCCACGTAGGTGGAGGGGCTGCTGCACCTGGATCTGACCCCCCCCAGCACCCCCGGTGGCCTGGTGGACTTTACCAGTGATGGCTATGGCAGCAGTAAGTCTCTGGGGCCAGTGACAGTGCTCCTAATGGCACTGGGCCTGTCAGATGGTCAGAGACCAGCAGAGCTCAGGCTGACCCCAGGCTCATTATTCCCTCTACCCAGATATGAGGTCAGAGCTTGGTGCTAGGCTCCAGATGGAGCTGGAGGCCACAGAGCGCCTAGATGCCAACTTCCTGGAGTACCTGCGACAACGTGGCTTGACCGTGGCAGACAGTGTGGTCGCCAGCATCAAGCTGCTTTCACCAGAGGTGCAGGTAGGGGGCAAGTGTCTAAGCCTGAGCCAGAGAGTGTCTTCTAGCTTGTTTCCAATTGTAGTTTGTCTGTCCACCATCCAGGGCCTGTTGAAAAAGTTGAATCAGGAGGCCTGCCTGGTGCTGGCCCTCTCTCAGCGCCCATGTGCTGATGCAGTACTCCCAGGATGGCAGGGAGAGAAGCGCGCTCTACAGGAAACAGTTCTGTCCCTCAGAGAGCTGCTGTGTAGGATAGCTGAAAATGGGCCCAAGGTGCGTATGTGTGCTGCAGCCTCCTGAAGTCTGGCTTGAATGTATGGTCTAAGGCTGCATGTATGTGGAGAGCATTGTGGGTACCATAGGCTAACTGACTGCATGTGTGTGGAGAACAGGTTAGGTACCGTAGGTCTACACGCTGCATAAGAACATAAGAAATTTACAAACGAGAGGGGGCCATTCGGCCCATCAAGCTCATTTGGGGAGAACTTAACTAATAGCTCAGAGTTGTTAAAATCTTATCTAGCTCTGATTTAAAGGAACCCAGGGTTTTAGCTTCCACTACACTAGCAGGAAGACTATTCCATACTCTGACTACACGCTGTGTAAAGAAGTGCTTCCTCAAATTTGTTTTAAAATGTTCTCCCGCTAATTTCCACACACATGTGTGTGCAGAGAGTATTGGGGGTTCTGTAGGTTGACAGGCTGCATGTGTGCAGGGTCAGAGCAACGAAGCTGACTGGCGTGCAGAGCTAATCCGAGCAGTGAGCACCATGTTAGCCAGTGAGTGGCACTGGTTGCGCTCGGAACTGACCACCATTATGGCTGCCCATGTGGCCTTGGATTCTGATCCTCTCACAGACCACTTGGAGCAGCTGCTCAAACAGCAGGTCAGTGTTTTGGAACCTATGTTTGGGTGGGGAGGGTTTTCTGAGGGGGTGGCTGCTGACCTTGTGCTCTGTGAGCGGCTGTTGAAGCCTCATCCACCTGTCCCTCAGGATGAGCACCAGCGGTCATCACTGCAGCAGCTACTGTCTGCAGAGCGCCGTAGCCTCCTCTCTGAGCTGCAGAGCCTGCAGGCTCAGCTACGCATTGCAGGTCTGCAGAATCAGGAGCAGCTGCAGCAGCTGCAGAACTGTCTGAGTGCTGCACAGGGGGACGGAAGCCAGCTGCGCAGACAAGGTCAGACAATATACTCATTCCAGCTGTGATTCTTGTGGTGACTCCTCTGACTGCAAGCCTCACACACACTTTTGTGTGGGCATAGTGGAGCTGCTGGAGTTTCGGCTGCAGCAGGAGCAAGTTCTAGTGCAGAAGCTGCGCAGTTCCCTGTCTCTGGAGCAGGATATTGCAGCCCAGCTGAGGACAGAACTAGAGCAGAAACATACCCTACTTGAAACCACTGCCAGTAGCCAGCAGGAGCTGCACAGCGAAACCTGCAGGCTGAGGTACAGCAGCCCAGCAGCTCTCAAAGCACATTCCTGCAGATGCAGACCTTGCAATACATTAACCCTTAACCCTCCACATCAGGGTGCAGCTGGAGAGCCAGGCCGTCGTGTGCCTGTCCTGGGAGGATAAGGCAAAGCATGAAAAAACCAAGGTGCAGGAGCTACAGCAGCAAGTCCAGCATGGACAGGCTAAGGTGCAAGATTTCCAAGAGGAGGTGCAACTTGGACAGGCCAAGGTGCGGGAGCTCCAGGAGGAGGTGCAATATGGACAATCCAAGGTGCGGGAGCTCCAAGAGGAGGTGCAGCGTGGACAGGCCAAGGTGCGGGAGCTCCAAGAGGAGGTGCAGCGTGGACAGGCCAAGGTGCGGGAGCTCCAAGAGGAGGTGCAGCGTGGACAGGCCAAGGTGCAGGAACTCCAGCAGGAGGTGCAGCGTAAACAAGCCAAGGTGTGGGAGGTCCAGCAGGTGGTGCACAGGGAGCAGCAATGCAGTCAACACACACATGTGGCACAGAATCAGGTGGTGTGTAGACATGGTTTGGAATGGGGATTGGAAACCTTGTTCAGTGGGGATTCAGTGACTAAACATTCTTAGTTTTTCTACAGGTACTTCAGCATGCCCTGGAACAGGAGCGCGTACAGTGCAGCAACCTCCGCAAGGAGCTCCAGATCGAGATTTCCCGTTGCGAGGCACTGATTTTGCAGGAGAGCAGAAGAGCCAGTCAGGCAGTACAGCAGCTGGAGGAACTGACCAACTCATTCACTCAGGAGAAGCAGGATCTCACCGTGAAGCTGGAGGAGGCGTGTTCTCTCTCTGCTCAGCTGACTGCCTCCCTCACGCAAGAGAAGAGAGAGAAGCAGGATCTCACCCTGAAGCTGGAGGAGGCAAGTTCTTATAGTGCTCGGCTGACCGCCTCCCTCACTCAGAAGAAGCAGGAAAAGCAGGATCTCAAGCTGAAGCTGGAGAAGCAGCAGGGTTTCCATGACAGACAGCAGCTAGGCTCCGACAAGCAGGAGCTGCGGGAAGAGAAAAGGGACTGGCAGAACCAGCAGGAGCGGAGGCATCAGAGGCTGGTATGTCAGTCTGCTGGGTAGGGTGGAGGCACCTGATGATCTGCAGAGATCAACTCAACTTTTCTTCCACATTATTCCTTAGTGAATATTTCTCCACCACCAAATGCTGACTTTCTTTTTGATGAATGTGCATGACTACCACCCTGTGGCCCTAGCTGGAGCTGGAGGAGCAGCGCATCAACCACGTTCAACAAACGCTCCAAGAATTGCAGGGGATGTCAAGCCATGCAACTGCCTATCCACAGAGCCAGCAGCAGCAGCTCCAAATTAGCCAGCAGCAGCTGCAGTTGGCCAGGGTTCGAGTGACCAGCCTCCTTCACAGAGCCCACACCAGGTGCGGTGTAGAGTCACTGTGACTCACTGATTAGCTTGGGCTCTCCATGTTATTCTTGCTGGGGGTAGCTGGGGAGTGTGTGTGGGTGTTGCTGGGATGAGGCAGTAATGTGGAGAGGGTGAGGCATGGGCATGCCTTTACTTTTCTGTTGCTGTCTTCAGCTGCGACAATGGGTGGCTGCAGCAGAAACACGGCTTGCAGGAGCTGCTCTGCACTTTGGCTGACTTGGAGCAGGACCTGCAGCAGCTGAACTCCCAGGTGAGGATTGGGGATCAGTGCATGTAGGGCAGTAGTAGTAGAACTTTCGAGAATGTAACTTCAACCAGGAGGCCGTAAGAAGCTGTTTCACATGCCTGTTCCCCAGGGGCTGTCTGCGGAGAAGGCTTGGCACACTGAATGGGCATCCCTGCCAGAGGTGGTTGGCCCTGTGATAGTCACTGACTGTGCAAAGCTCAGGGCACAGGTCAGCCATTTTTCCTCCACCTCTGGGTTGCATTTTGGATTTAAGGCCTAAAAGTGAAATTGTGCTGCCAGTGTTGGTATTCAAACCAACGACCTGGACACAGACTCTGAACCTGCTGGGTGATTTTGGATTTTGGGAGTTGTGTAATTGGCACTTTCCTTGAATTGTGGGTATTAATAAAAGATCTTATATGTGGAAAATGCAGCAGGCCTGTAGGGGGTACTTCTGAGTGGATCTGTGTGATCCACAGGTCCAGCGGCTCTATTTGAAGTACCTGCGGGCTGAGAGCTTCCGCAAGGCACTCGTCTACCAGAAAAAGTACCTGCTGCTGCAGCTAGGGGGCTTCCAGGACTCCGAGCTGGCCACCCTGTCCCTCATCGGCCTCATGGGTGCATGCCCCTCCCCTGCTGCTTTCAAGACCCGCCCCACTAATCGCTTTAGGACCACTGTCTGTGTGATAATCGCCATTTCACGGTAAGGTACCCTGAAACCCATTATGGAGCATGGTTTCCCTGCCCTGCAGCCTCGCAGCATTCCTGCTCTGCATCCCCTGCTGTTCCAGGCTCCGTTTTCTGGTCAGGAAATGGCACAAGTCCGTCACAAGGGGGGCAATGAATCCGGCCTCAAACGGACATGGACCCAGCGTCAGTGAGTGACCCCCGGCTCCACAACCTGCGTACCCCGTCATTCCTACTAACCCCATCACATTGTTCCCCTTGCCCTGTTGTCCCCTCTAACCTGATCGCTCTTGGCCCTTCATTCCCCTTGCTCAGTCATCCTTGCTCAGTCATCCCTGCTAACCCTGTGCCTCCTGTTCTGGCATCCCCACTATCTGTGCCCCATGCCTCCTGCCCCATTGTCCCCACTAACTGTGCCCCGTCACTTCGCAGGCAGTACTACCCGCGCAGCTTTACCAGTGCGGCGACAGCCAAGTGGCATCTGTTTCCCACCCACACACAAGCATGGCCCTGGCCAGAGGATGGCACTTTCTCCTGTCTTTCCTCCTGCAACATCAGCCTTTAATCTTCAGCACAGGTAGGCTGCCTTCTGGCTCTTTATGTGACATCAGTATGTTTTTATTAGTGTTAAAGCTCCCTGTGTCCCCAGGCCACCCCCATACCCGGACCCAGAGCACTCGCTCAGCGAGTACATCCAGCACCTGGAGGCTGTACAGCAGCGCCTGGGAGCCGTTCAGAAAGGTGAGTTTCTAGAACCATTGGAAGCCATATTGCCAGTGGGGGGCCATGGTGATGCAGGGGAGCAGCAAGCACCGCCTGTGCTGGAAGACAGGAATTATACCAGAAAGCTGCTTTTGGACTTCAGGTGTGACTTTGTCCTGCCTTGTCCCTGCGGCCCTAAGTGATGTCACCTTACTGGATGTGCTGGCCCTCCCTCCCTCTCTCCGGGCTTGTTAAGGTGTGTCTGCCTTGGGCTCACACCTGGGACCAAATCCACAGACTTGTTGCAGCTCTGGCTTCAGCGCAAATATCAGCTTCGGTAACTGTTGGTGTGACTCTGAGCGCCAGGCTTCAGCCTTCATGTGCTTGTGTGCAGCCATTCATAGAGTGTGGCTGTAACTTAAATTTACCCTGATACTAACTGCCTTGTTTACATGATGGTCTCAGGGGCAGCTTGGCTCAGTATTAGCCCCCCCCCAGGCTCTTAATGCCCCTTTGGACACACCGTCCATTGTAACCCAAGTGGTCACCTGTGATTCCACATATTCCATCCACTCATCCAGCATAAGGACAAAGCTGGGAACAGCCAGGTGCCCAAGTACCGTATTTTCCGCACTATAAGTCGCACTCTAAAGCCTTTGATTTTCTTAAAAAATAACAGTGCGCCTTATAATCCAGTGTGCTTTAAACGTGGATTAATTTCTGTTGTGCATACTGAACTCGAAGCGATTTGAATGTTTTAGTATTGAAAAGTGAGTGTATTGTGTAGTGCTATTATAAATTAACAATTTCAAGAGTTATTATGAATACGCTGACTTTTGATTTAGCGGTATAGGACCGTATTATAAGTGTTCAATTTAGAGTTATTATGAATATGCTGACTTTTGATTTAGCGGTATAGGACCATATTATAAGTGTTCAATTTTGAGTTATTATGAATACGCTGACTTTTGATTTAGCGGTATAAGACTCTTGTTTTTTTACGTGTTAAAGAGTAGTGAAGACGCTCATAAACGTTTGAACAATGTTGACAGTCATTGTGAACACGTGATGTAAAATAAATTTTGGTTGACTGGCTTATCTGACTGTTTTGTTTTTAAAGTCCGGTGCGCCTTGTATGTGGAAAAAGTTTGAAAAAAGACCACTGATTGACGGTGCGCCTTATAATGCAGTGCGCGTTATAGTGCGGAAAATACGGTAACTCATGTTTCACAGCCTGCTCTGTGTGCTGATTGGCCTCTTGGCCTCTGACTGAATACAAGGACAGTGAAGGTGGACTGAGCCTACAGGTAGTCGATTTAACTGTTCATTTTCACTGTCCCCTGGGTCAGTCAGAGTGCCCTGAGAACAGATGGTAGAGTCACATGACTTGTGCTGCAGATATGGTGGAATATCAGTAGAAGTGACTGCTTGAAAATAGAAGCCGGTTGTTTTTGAGTTGCCTGTCTCCCCTGGTGCATCATAGGTGAGTGAGCTGCATCCCTCCCCACCCCCATGAGGCACCAGTCTGTCTGTGAAATCATTCACCAAGGCGAAGCACGGCATGGTGCATGAGGGGGTGGGCTCTGGGCTGAGGTCTGCAGGCCTTCATATCTTACACTCACATGTCTGTCTTTGTGCCTACAGGCTCAACGGTTGCTGTTTCATTCCTTGCATCTCCCCGGCAATCTGATCCATAGTGGCAGTCTGCTTCAGCATTTTATGTTTCTCCATTAATCGTATGAGGATTATACTTATGCTCATGTACCAACCTCAACATGAACGTCACTTATTCACCTGATTCATTGTAGTTTGTTGAAGTGCTATTTTTAATGGGATTCTTCTAATGTTCTGTAAGCATTGGCACAGTTTGACATTTGTGGTCATTTAAGAATATTCTTCACTGGAAGCAATGCTGGAAAAAGTCACTTAAAATGCACACGTGAACACAGGCCTGTTTAAATGACAGCATTTATTAAATTATTTTAATCTGGTGTCTGCCTCTGGTTCACATTTTGTTGCACAGCAGCCTGGGGAGGGGCGAGTTGAGCCACCACCTGCCTCAGCAACTGCACCCTGATCCCCCCCAGGAGTGGTTCTGCCTGGTGTGTATCATTGCCCACCTGGGAAAAATGTACCATGTGACCTTCACCACAAGGGCTAATGAGCCTTCATTTGTTCAGACCCGCACTATTTGTGCACAAATCCCAGTGCCTGTGTGAATTTGTGATACTGAACGGTGAGTATACAACCCCTGGCATAAATTATGGAATCACCAGTCTTGGAGGATGTTCATTCAGTTGTTTGATTTTCTAGAAAAAAAGCAGATCACAGACAAGACACAAAACTAAGTGAATTTCAAATGGCAACTTTCTAGCTTTAGAAAACATTAAAGGAAATCAAGAAAACAACTAGTTATTCAGTAAACATCTTCTTTTTTAGACCAAGCAGAGGGAAATAATTATGGAATCA